ATAATTCGAACCTCTCTATAATTCAAAGTTATCACGAGGTCCCTACGAAATCTCTTTATATTTCGAACTAAATCAATACATTTTCATACACTTGGTAATTCGAACGAAAAAATCATTGATATTTAACAAAACCACGCGTTAATTCGAACTCATCAGCGTCTAACACTCGACAATTCAAAGTTGCAGAGAAAAAAATTTTGCGACAAGTTCAAACTTGCCTTTGTTTTTGTTTTGATTATGTAGTTTTTGACGCACACACTTCTTACGAATTGGTTTGTGTAGTTATTCAGTTACTGTTACTCTTTCGTTGGTATGCATATTAAAAGTTAGTGTTAGCTATGAGCCCTAGAACAAATTTCGAACCATTTGATATTTCAAACACTCGATAATTCGAAATATTTCAAGAGTCCCTCGAGTTTCGAATTAACGAGAGTCGACTGTAATTGATTTCTCTCACAGACAAAGCCATTCCTAAATTAATCCCCCTTTTCTATTGGCCAAACGGAGGAATGCTAATCAAGCCGGCCAAAACAAACCGAAATTCGAGAGAAAATCGGGCAGGAGACATACATATGAAGTCATACACACTTGGAACTTTTCCAGCTTTCCCCGCCAGAGCAGAAAGGAGCAGATAAAGAAAATTCCACACACACACAACACACTCGTAGTTTTCCGACTTTTCCGGCCGCACGAAGGAAATGAGCAAGACATTGAGTCACCTCAAATTGTGGGAGTGTGGAAAAGCTGGAAAAGCAATCAAAATACGGCAGAGACAAAGGCGAAGATAAATAGAGGCAGACAAGCAAAATATTGCCTTTTCTGTGGCGAGGCAACAGGAGGAGTGAGTTGCCGCAGTCGAAATGGGGCAGGAACAATCTGAGGAACTCAGTGGAAAAGCGAGCTCGAAATAATAATAAAAAAGTAAAAAAACCTTTTAAGTATTTCATGCTTTTCACTCTATATAAATTTTAGCCTCTCTATATTTTTCTCATTTATTAATCTCTTCTATCTTTTACATCCCTGAACTATTAAGCAATGTTTTCAAAACCTTTTTGAATAGATATTACTTTGTTTTTCCGTTGACTTCAAGGGCGTCGCTTCTTAAATTATTGTTCTCTTTTTTTGTAGCTAATGAAATCTTGTATATGCAAACAGTGAGCAATTTTGAGACATTCCATGTTTTGCCCAGTTGCCCCGAAGGTATTTCGAGTTTGGAACTCCTCCTTGGCGCCCGCCTCGATTTTTACGAGCCATGAAATGTATGCGGCAATAAATTGAATCAAAACATCTAGGATTTGACCTTGAGTGCCCGGGACAGATGAACACATCAAGGATGCACAAAGGGCAAGCAATTTTACGGCATGCAGTCCATTGGCGGTCAGCCCGGGGCCATGAACCCTGCAGATGTCCTTTCGTTAGGCGGGGGTGTGTGCATGTCAGGACCTCGGGGCAATTTCCCTTTGCAACATACTCGCACACTCGCAGTCAGTCACACACGAGAGTGTGCTCGTGGGCGGGCAAATAAGCATAACGAGCTCCATTATCCTTGGGGAAACTGGTTTGGGATGCAGCCTTGGTCCTGCATTACGCATACGCCATGTGACTCACAGCGGAAGGCGGGGAAAGCCGGGGAGAGCTCTTTTGTTGCACCGCCAAATTGAAATAATATGCAGGGGACAGCAAATTCGAAAAGGAAGTTGAGAAGCGAGAACCCGAAACCGAGAGATGAAAAAACCATGAGTCAGCAGATGTTATATATACAGTTATCGCAGGACATGGGAGCCGAAGGATTAAGGGTGGCGTGGTCGCTGCGAAAATAGACGTTTTGTTGTTATAGTCCACAGAAATGTTGCTTTAAATGAATGGCTAAAAACCTTTTAATTTTGTTTCTTTCTTTTTATGAAAACGTGAAATTTGTCTACCAAGTTGTTAAGTAGTTAACATAAAGTTTTTTTAATAGTTTATTTACAACAATGTTAAGTAGTTAACATAAAGGTTATTTAATTATAAATGTACATGGTTGAATCAAAGGTCCCTAAATTTTTTAATGATATACCACTTCCCTCACTAAATTAAAGTTTATTTTTTATAAACAAACTGTTTCAAACCAAATCAAGAAAAACCCTTTACTTAAACTGTATACAACTTCTCTTCAGCGTTATAACCCTCAATTTAAAGAGTAACAATACTGCAACATAATGGCTGCAGGACACCAGGCAGCAGGAGGATGCAAGTCCTGTAAACTAGAGGCCATTGTACACACATAGGTCACGAGCGACAGTTCCTGCTCTTCTTTTGACTTTTGTTTCGGAAGAGAGCATGAAACGAGTTTCCCCCGTATTTGCCCGACCCACCGGCTTTTCCCCATTTTCCGTTTTGCCGGCTGGGGCGGCATCATTAACATTATGTAAGCAGCAACAAAAACAACAACAAAAGCAACAACGACCGGCGACAGTGACAGCAGCAACAGACGGTAGTCCCTTTCACCTTTCTCCGCTCGCCAAACTACACCTGAAGTTGTAATTTATGCTCTGACAAAATGGCGCACACACAAAAAAATGGGGGTGGCAAGTGGGTGGAAGAAGCCTCTCACGTAACAAAAGGGGGCTACAATGGTGGGAAAAAAGGGGGCCAAAAGGGCCGCATAGTTGGCCTATGTGTTGCACTTGACGGGGTAGCTACTTTTATGTATTTATGTATATATATGTATGTATATCAGGCGCTTGGCCTTTATGGCCGCATAAATTAAAGCATCAAGCATTGAAATATTTTATTATAAGTTGAGGATTCGCGGGAACTTCAGCTTGAGGAACACAATCAGATACAACGAATAGTAAGCCAAGATAAGCCGCAGCCATAAATTACACGTTTTATTTAGGAATTGAAGGATTTCTTTGGTTAATAGAATTTTTCGTTCTTAACATGAGAATGAGACTTACAGAAATTATAAATAAGAATTTGAAGTTCCCAAGCAACACAAAACTTAAGTCGTTTTTTGGTAAAGAAACAATTTAGATGGGATTTGGGTTTCACATGACCCAATTTCTCAAGAGCTTCTGCATATCTCTTCCGCACCTTTCCGGGAAATTAATTTAACGACTCCAGCATTTGCCCGCATCCGCATGAAGAATCGGTCCAATTCGCAACTTAACATCCATCAGCGCCGGCAGCCAAAACTTTAATGGCTGGCCGTAAAAGGAGGAGCCTCGCGGAATTGTTTGTCTTGCCGCCACAATTCCGAAGCGGAGAAAAAGCCAAGATACATACATGCATTTACCTAGGTGGAAACTTTTGAGCAAACTGCATAAACGAAACTTCTTATAAAGTCTATAAAACGTAATGACTCGCGCTACATGCGCACCCAGAGAAGTATGCAACAAAAGTTCCACTGACTTTGACTTGACAGGATGAAAATCAAGGAGAACACAGGACTCTGGGAAATTCCAGCAGGAAAATATTAAGTTTTACACGGTCCCAGCTGGGGGGAATTGATTAAAGCCACAGTGGCAGGGAATGAGGCGGATTTTCTGCAGGAATTAAACGAAATTGAAAAAGTTCAACGCGCCACAAGGAAGTCTTTAAATCAGCTTCAGTTGAATAATTTCGTTGGCTTCCATAGTTAAACTTTTTAATTACAATTAAAAATACTCAATAAATAATACTCATCTTATATTTCCGCAATAAAATGCAAAATGACAAATATTTATTGTATTCTATAATACAGACATACAAAATTAAAATAATAATACGGAATAACTTTTGACATTTTGCTAAATGAAAAACAACAATTATTTAGGTCAAAGAGGGTCAAAAGAATTCTGTTCGATAAATTAATTCTTTGTTTGTATTTTTCCCTTTCTATTTACTCAAAACAAAAGCAACGTCTAAAAACCAATTGCAGATTTATATAAAACAACAACTTCAGCTTGAAATTGCCCGCATATTGTGACATTTAAAAACTTAAAATGACTTTGTTGCTTAAATTGAAGCTCCACTGTAGGCGGTAAAGCTTCATTTTGCATTTATGACGTCAAGTTGAGTCGCTTACGGAGTGTAACTGCACTTGAAAATCGCCCAAGGCTCTCGACGTTGGTCGATGGTCGAAGGATGAAGGATTTTCGTGCAACAAAATGTCAAATCACCGACACCAGGCCACCGATACTAGGACACTTTCACCCACACACAGACAGCAAACGGCAAACCAAATTTGCATGCTACGCCGCGCCAGTGTGTTTGTATTGTGTGCATGTGAATGGGGAATTGAAATTGGTTTGCAAAATGGCAGCTCTTTATATTTGGCCAGTGGTTGGAGTCGTCTGCACTTGTCACACTGATTTCTGCCGATTAGAAATTAATCGAATTTTACTGTCAAATCGAAAGCGGCGGGCGTTCAGGAAGTTGCCGTTACGTTGCCATGGAAATGCAAAAAACAACCAAACCCAGACACGCACGCATACTAAGACAGAATGGCGGGAGTATCCTGGAAATTAAGGTGACTCTGTAAATCTTTTACTCGAGCTCTGAGATTTGTTTGCATGACGATATAAATATAAAATACGCAACACAAAATGTAAAATGAATCAAAAAATATATTTTATTTGTCATTTGCAAATATACATATATAGAACCTATAACTATGTTGTTTAAATAATATTTTAAAAACTCCGATATCAAAAATAAACTTCAGAAGTCCGAAATCTGATTTTGCATTTCCCGACCAATTTGCTACAAATTGAATCAGAGTTATACTCCCTCTAAGTTCTTATATATTTATTATTGGTCCTTGTGATTGAACCACCCTAATGAGCAACACACACACACTTTTGCAGACTGACAGACACTGACACTGAATGTTACGCAGTCGGCGGTCCTATAGGCAAAATACCGTAACATTTCGCCCAACGAAAGATAATCTCTGTTTATATAAGCTTGGAATATTGGGAAGGATACTACAAAGAATCCTTCTCGATATTGGATTAGCTTTATTTCACTTCTCTCACCTGTTCCACAACTGTCGACATTTTGTTGTAAGTTTTATTGTATTTACTGCACTCTGAGATATATTTCTCACTTTGTCGCTGTGCTCTGTACACTTTTTATTTCAAAAAGATTCAACAACTTATTTCTTAAAGCCGCACCGCATTTTGCTTGTTTCTTTCTGCTTTTTCGATTTTAATTGTACGAGCTTTAGGGTGAAATTCGCGAACCTATGATACGCAACGAATCCGACGAGTTGCTGCTGCTGAAATCAACTAAAAATCCTTTTTTGGCGAGCAGGATACTCACGGATTTTTATCCTGCCGAAAGGACAAGTGCGACCAGTCCGAAAAATATACCAAAACAATTGTGGGTGGGAAACTTCGGTGAAATACCGGATGGTTAATTTCACTACCCCTGCTACGGCCACACTTGTTATCAGTTTTCAGTGCTCCGCACGTTTTCTTGTAAATAAATAAATAACTTATAAATATCAACCTAAACAGACATGTTTCGCCTCCAACAGTCGCAGCCCGACCCCGCCGAGGAGCAAAAGCGCGTGGCCTCCGAAGTCCGTTTCAATTTCATTCTGTTTGGCGCAATTATCGCAGCTGTTCGACTGGGTATGTAAAGTTCTTATGTAAAGTGCTCTATATAAAACAACTCATTTGTTTTCTCTGTTAAAACAGCTCCCGTGGTCCTGCAGCAGATAAATTCGGCATAGGAATAAAGTTAACTATATAATGGAAGATCGGGGATAACCATTAGCAGTTTGCTTCTATCAGGAAGTTATCAATTACCTAGTTGTTCAAGCAATTTTAGTCAAATCATAATGGCACGCGAAATGCATTTATCTAAAGGCACTTTGGCTAATGGGCAAAGATTTAACTCAAGGCATTTTTAAGTTTGAATAAAATTGAGGATGTTCCTGAACATAAATCGTTTTACAAAATGTAGAAAGTGAATAAACACATAAAGTAAAGAACAAAAAGGAATGGGTTTAATTTAAAAGCTCTAATGCGGTTTCAAAAAGAACCCAAGTCTGCAGCATAGCTATCACTATATTGTACCACTATCCAAATATAGCGGGAAAATAGCCGATATGCCATCTCTGACTAGTATTTTTGTGGTATTTTATTGCAAGTGCCAGCACTGCGTGTGTATAAACAGCTGGCAAGAAAACAGTTGGCAATAAGAAAGAAGTTTTTGTTGAAATGACGGCGTAAAACCCATTAAACCAATTACCATTATTGCACGATCGAGTCGCCGTACATATGCGTATATAGTAACGTAGCAGATAACAAACAGAGAGAAGAAAAAGCGGCGAAACACGCTTAACATATGGACGTGCTCTCCAAGATAACGAACGAAGTAAGGTGCCGCGTTGCGTTTTGCCATGTTTACACTTAACGTCTTTAGATATCTACTTTGACAGGTACTCCCGATAATATATAATGGTGGCGGCCAAGTACGAGCGCCTGAATTCCGGCGAGGTGAGTGCAAATGGAAATGCCAGCGAAGCGGAAGAAGAGGAAATCGAGCTCAATCTCGGCCAGAAATCGCAGAAAACGACGCTGAATAATGGAAACCGTTCACGGCAGAGCAACTTTAAGTACGCTATCGGCAAGTCCGGACCGGGAGAAACCCAGGGAGTTGGGGAGACCAGCACTTTAGCCCAGGAGAACATGATGATGCAAATGGCGGTGGGCACGTTGGCCATCATTCTTTTGTATCTGACGCTCTCCATCTCGCTGACCTTCTACCAAACGGACATCAATCGGCAGATGCCCTTTCCCCTGGCCATCGTGACGTACCACCTTGTTGTTAAATTTCTTCTGGCCGCGTTGGCGCGAAAGATTTACAGGATGAGGATGGGCCGATCCAGGGTCCAGCTGGATTGGAGAGTGGCCCTGAGGAAAATGGCACCCACGGGAGTTGCCAGTGCCATCGACATTGGGTTCTCCAACTGGGGGCTAGCCCTGGTGCCCATTTCCCTGTACACCATGACCAAGTCCTCGACGATCGTCTTCATCTTGCTGTTCGCCATCGCTTTGGGCCTTGAAAAAAAGGTAAGGTTTATTTTATAGAAAGAAAAGGGAGCTTTAGAGCCCTGAAAAATAATTCTCCGGTGCAGAGTTACGTCTTTATATTTTTATCTTTTTAATTATAATGAAAGCACCCAAAGAAACAAGCTGAAAACTAATTCATTTTTTGTACTGATAAAAGGCATTAAATCAAAACCTTTTGTTATTCAATTGTTGCTCAATCATTATATCTGACAACAGTCAGATAAAAAGAAAATTGAAAATGATATCTCGAAACATATACTAAGAGATTACAAATACTTGTAATTATATTGGTTAATAACTTTTCGTTTTCAGATAAGAAAAGTTTACTTATTTATGAGCATGTTTTAAATATTATTACTGCACATTTTTATAAGTTAAATTATACGAAAAGGCTATAACCGCTTTAAATTAGATTGAGTATCCATTAGAGAATCAACATTTAAAGAACATCGAAAAACTTTAAATTCATAAAATGTATCATGTGTTAACTTGTTCCTCAGGTTTTTCAAAATGCGTTGCAGCTAATTTTAATTTCGCACCCCCATACAGATATAGATATTGATTGTGCATTAACGGCATTATTTACTTTTAGAGCTGGTATCTGGTGTCGATTGTGGGCCTGATAGGCACCGGGCTGGTGATGTTCACCTACAAGTCCACGCAGTTCAACGCCCTGGGCTTCTTCTTCATCCTCTTCGCCTCGCTGAGCAGCGGACTGCGGTGGAGTTTTGCGCAGTTCATAATGCAGAAGTCCAAGCTGGGATTGCACAACCCCATCGACATGATCTACTACATGCAGCCGTGGATGATTGCCTCTTTGGTGCCACTAGTCTTAGGAATCGAAGGTGGGTTTCCGAAGTCTTTATGCTGCAATGTGCATTTAATAACTGGTGATTCCTTAAAGGGGCCAACCTCTTCGCAGTAAGCGAGGACCTGCACAACCACTCCTCGCACGAGATTACCTGGGCTATTGCGAGGATAACCGCTGGAGCCCTGCTCGCCTTCCTCATGGAGTTCAGCGAGTTCCTGGTACTCTGCAAGACCTCCAGCCTGACGCTCTCGATAGCCGGGATCTTTAAGGACATCTGCCAGTTGGCCCTGGCCGTGACCCTCAAGAAGGACCAGCTGAGTGTTATCAACTACATCGGCTTGGTCATCTGCCTGGCGGGCATTGTGTGCCACCTCCTGCACAAGTACACCAGCATGAAGGAGACGCAGAGGCAGCAGAAGGAACAGGGGTTCAACGACGACCAGGACGAGTCGCCCGCGGGGGAGTACAACTTCAACGAGGGCAGTGCGATTGCGGGAGTGCATGTGAAGTCGCACTCCACGCTCACGGTGCCATTGCTGGAGCAAACTGATTCCGAGGACGAGTCTGGCCACGACCCCAGCAACAAACAGAACGCCTCCGATGTGATCTTCGATGTGCTGAAGCGACGCGACATGCAGCGATGAAAGCCGATCCTTGTACAGATGTCCTGTAAATGTTGTAAATTCAAACGATCCTATGTTACGAGCTCCATTCCCCACACAACTACTTACTACACTGGGATAGCAATGCAGGTTTAAGTAAGTTAGTTAGTTTGAGATTTCCCGGCTGCTTCCGACACTGAGAACTTTCCGATTTCCCGGTTGCATTCCCGCTTTGTGCATTTTGCAGCTATAATTATGAGGTAAAAATTAAAAGAAATATAGATAACTCTCTTTTTTGACTGCTTTCCATTTTGACAAAACAAACAAGACAGCGGAACGATCGGTAATCTTTGGACAACAGGTATTAGTTTTCCACAATTCTCTTAATTTTATCTGAACATTTTTAAATTGTCAGCTGTTTTGTGCCAATTATCAACATTTCTAATTTGCATTTTAAAATTTTTTGATTGTTGTCCAACGCTACCTTCAAGCCCCAAAAACTATCTCGTTTTTTTTTCGTAAGAACTTACAATTAAGTCTTGAAACCTCTGTAAAAATAAGAAATAAGAAAGCCTTAAAGACCTTTTATTGTTCCTTAATTGGCAACTCCAATCCGGCATTCCAAATTTATTTGTAAACAGTTTAGTTTTAAGAAACTTTGCATTTGACATCTTGAAAAATGTCTGATAAAATTAAACACGAGCCATTGTTTTTGTAGAAAATTATAAATAACGTCTTTATTGTTTTAGTTGATAACGCCTCATTTTTGTTGAGTTTTTGACATTTTGTATTCATAAGTTTATAAGGTAATTTCAAGTATATATTAAACACGTATATATTAAAGAATATAACGATTACGATATGGCGGCGGTTCAAATCAATTGAACAGGGTCATATCCACGCTATTGAGGTATGGGAACCGGAAAACTATTTGGCGTTGCGCCAAATGATATTGGTTCGCCTATGCTTTACATTACTTATCTTTGGTTTGCTTTAGAGGCGGTCCATTTTCCGGATCATCTTCGAGGCGCTGACGCTTGAGAGTCGGCTGAAGCTCGGAAACCGCTTTGGTCGAAACCGGAGCAGCTTCCTGCAGCTGCACTGTAATGATGTTGTAGGCACCCACCCCCAGCGTGACCACTTCGTTGGACACCACCAGGCCTGTGCGTTCGTTGAGAGATTCCTCGAAGCCGGAATCGGGACTAGACAGACTCTCGTTGCTCTGATTAGACGGAAGTTCGCAAACGGGCTGGAGTGACTGGTAGAAAGGGTAGCCGGACAGCACGTCAATGAAGGGCTCGACGTGGGCGTCTGTGTAGGAGGTCAGTCCGACGAGGTACTGCGACCAGCGCCTGACCCCGCTGACCTGGCGAACAGCCGCAATGCAGACGGCGGCCAGCAAAGAGGGGGGTTCCCTGGCGAATGTGGTGACTGTAAGGGAATGCAATGTTGTACAATTTCGAACACTGTTTCTGGCAAGACAGCCTGCTTACTGGTCAATGTGAAGTCTGCCATGCGGAGCAGCAGCTGTGCCAAGACGGCCAGCATTTGCTCAAAGCTTCCGTATCGCTGATAGGGCAGAAAGTTATGCTCCCTTTCGATGTCATTCAGCATCTCGGAGTAGGCCGCAAAGTCGGAGCGAGTGAGGAAGCTGCAGGCGAACAGCTCCACAAAGCTGGCAATTGTGGGACGCACCAGCTCGAAGTCAAGGAAGCACAGGAGCTTCCTCTCCACGGCCTTGTATTCAAATCCGGTGTAGGCATTCTTGACCAGACGGTTCATTTCGCTGTAGCGCGGGATGAACGCGTCTGTGTTCTCGATCTGAGCTGCAATATGGAGACTCGTGATCGCAACGAGTTGCAGCTTGTCCTGCCGGATTTTGTAGCGGTCCATAAAGCGATCCAGGTAGTAAGCGGCTGGAATAAAAAAGGATTATCAAAAAATATACTTCTGAGCACCAAGAAAATGGTATCATATTTGGTAGTTTAGGTTAGCAAAGCTCCACTGTACAGTGCTCACCCAGGTGCAGTGCACATCGACTTAGTTTGTAGGTGCCAGTCACTAGTTGGAGCAACTGCAGCATCTTGTAGCGTTCATCCAATTGGGGAGACAGGAAAAATAGCGGCAAGCGGCGCATCTCCTGCTCCTTCATGGTCAAAAATATGTCACGTGCATAGTCTTTTAGCCAATGGGTCTTCGCCAGGCGCTATAAATTGGAAACCAGTTAATTATATCAGAAATTATCAGGATTATTTCGGAAACCAAATTTCATACATAAGTTCATAACCAATTACCTCGACGTCAGATTGCAAGTGATCCTTTTCCAAATTAGGATTCACCACGAAGATGTTCTCCTCGACAGCCAAAGTCTCGTCCATCTTTTCCTAGTTTTCTTCAGTTCTTCACTTATAAAAATCTTCACCTATGCGAACTGAAAACTCCGATGCGAATAAGGAATAGAAAACAAAACCCGGAAAAACATGGCGGGATAACGGTGCTTGTCAGTGCTACCACAAAGTTTATCGAGCAATGCTGCCAGACTGAAAAAGGATTATGATCTAACCTAACTTTAGCTATAATTCTGATGCGTTTTGTTTTTCAAAATAGATGATGATCCAGTCGTAAGCTACTGTTTATTTGGTAAAATTGTGCTTTAGGGGCTTTATTTAATTAGTAAAAAATAAAATTTATAAACTTCACAAAAAAATCAAATTTGCTTTCCAATTCATTTGGAACTTTAGTTTCTTAAATTGTAAATGCAGAGAATACAGTATGTCTGGTTGGCGTTTGGCTAATAGGCAATTGCGTCAAGGCACAAAAGATTCCAACCGAATTGGGTCTTCTTCCTCTTGATTTTGAATAGATTCTGGCAGCTCACAACCAAAATAGGCGTTGTTGTTGGCACAAAACAGGATGAGTTGGCGCCAGCAGTCGTCGACGGCGAGAAGATGGGGGTTCCCGAAGACAATCATCATAGCTCGAGCTCGCGAAATGGCCACGTTCATTCGCTTTTTGGAGCGTACAAAGCCCAGGGAAAGCTTGGAGTCATTCCGAAGAATCGATTCCGAGGATCGAACCGTGGAGATCAGCATTATGTCGCGTTCCTAGAAACAAGATAGAAGGTTACCGAGGGTATTTTTCGTTTGACTATTAACCCACCTGTCCCTGAAACTCCTCGACGCTGCCAATCCTTGGCATGGCCACATCAGTGCCAATGAACATGTTGCGCAGCATCTTCACCTGCTTCATGTAGGGCGTGAGTATTCCGATCTGTTCCGGACTCACGTTGGCGCGATACAGGGCGATGGTCATGAGGAACACCTCCTTCACCTCGTGGGGATTAAACCAGGAAGGAGAATCGTTCTCCTGCCTGTTCTCCCCAGTGATGCCATAAAAGAACGTGCCATGTGCCTGGGGCATATCCTTTTCTGGCTCGAAAACCACTCGCAGCTTGGAGAGAAGCTGAGATTCCCTTGAATCGCTCTGAGAAACCATCGGGATCAGTTCGTCGTCGTAGAACAGCTTGCTGTAAACGCTCATAATGGATGGCAGTGCTCGGTAGTTGTACAACAACTTGGTCAGCACCACGGGATTGTAGCCCGAGCTTTCTGGAAACCTCTGAAGGTCTTTTTGATACGGCGAATGCTCGAGCAACCGTTCCAGAAAGGACATGCAGAGTGACGTATTGCTCGAAAGCCTATTCAGCGTAATTGCCTGCAGCTGGCGAGGATCACCTGCCAAAACCACTTGGCACCGTTTCCTGCTGAGCATTACAATGGGCACCATTGTCTCCGGTTCGGTGCACTGACCCGCCTCATCGAGCAGCGCGTGGGTAAAATGTCCTGGCGGGAACCCCATCTGCAGGAAGTTACCCAAAGTGGCGCACGTCGAGATGGTGATTCGGTGGGTGCCAATGAATTTCATCTGGCAGCGGAGCTTCAGTCCGGATTCGGTGGTAACCATCTTTAAAAGGAGGGTAAACATATGCTGTAACGTTACGGATACAACAAGAAAGAAGTCTACTCACACTGTCAGTGCAGGAGCCCGCAGCAGCGAGATCAATGGTGGCACAATAGCTCATTAGTTCGGGCGGAATCAGGTCCCTCTCCACTAGATTGTGCGACACAAGCCGAATGAAGTCTCCCTGGAGCAGAGCTTTGGATTCGATGAGTCGCTTGGTCACCAAGTCCGCCGCGCTGTTTGATGGTGTCCCCACCAAGATCCGAGCACCTGGCAGATTCCTCACCAACTGAAGGATGGTCTCCACCAGGGTTACCGTCTTTCCAGTGCCCGGTGGCCCAAAGATCACGTACGGAAGGTCCTCCGCCTCCCCACGCAGGATATTGTACACAGCTCGCTTTTGGATGCAATTAAGCGAATCGTTGTACCATGGCAGCTTCGAGTCATACAGGTACATATCATCGCCCTCCATTCGGACCTCCGACTGGGGGTTCTCGCGCTTGGTCACCTTGCTGGGAAACAGGAACTGCTCGCCCATGACGCTCAATATCCGCGAGACGGCATGGTGCTGCTTGCGGTAACCAAAACGCGAGAAGTAAAACTCCAGCCGGTAATCCTCGCCATTGTACTTCCCCTGGAAACTGGCGTTGAACTTGAGCAGCACGCGATTGAAGAGTACCTTGTGGATAATGCCCTCGTACGACTTGTTATCCTTAGAGTTGGGCTCCACCCAGGGATTTATGGCTCGCACCACATCGCCAATGACCAGCGAGGGACGACGCTCGGCCAGATTCTCGATCTGCAGCGCCAGATACTCCCCATCTCGGAGAAAGTGCGCGCGGTCTCTGTCGTAGTTGCGGAAACTCACGAAGCACTCTATCTCCTCGAGGTGGAGATACAAGCCCATGCGCTGCACATAGTTACTAGCGTTTAGAGACTCCGTGACGCAGGGATAACTCTGCTGCAGTGAGTCCAACATTTCCTGTTTCCGTTCGACGGTTAAATAGATCCGCCGCAACTTCTCGGGGACCTTTAAAAAGTATAAGAGTGATGAAATTATATATTCACTAAACCGAATCAATTCTCACCTCGAAAAAACCCAACCGCAGGGAAACAAATCTGCGTTTGGTGGTACTGTACTCCCCCGGCACCACATCCCTTTGGTTGCACCAAACTTGGTTGGCATAGAACTTCGATCTCTGAAGCACCGTGCGTCCGGGAGCCAAAAGACTTTCGGCGGCTACCAAGCGCCTCTCGGCCTCTTCGGCTTCCTCTTTAGTTTCGCATACGATAACTGTGAAAGACCGATTCACTTTGAACCTATCAAACTTCAGGACGAAGTTCTCGGTCGCTTCGCCCATGAACTGGGTATGAATTTCGAAGATCATTGTCAAGCTGCCGCCACTAACAATGTCCCGGGGCTCGAGAGGTTCGAGCAAGCTCAACTGAGACTCACTGTCGTTGGAGACAACGACGCTTTCCAGACGCAACTGGCGACTCAGGTTGTTGGTCAGCTGTAACGAGATACTCTGCTTTTGCCAGAGCTCCGTGCTGATGAAGCGGTTTACCCCGGTAACTGAGACCGCTTGATCACGGCTGGAGGATCCCAAGCCTGCACTGCGTTGAACCTTTGTGGCTCCAAAGTTCTTTTCCAGCGGAACAAGCTTAATGGCTCGCCTTGTGAATTTGGACTGAGGAATTTAAATACTTTTAGTGAAGCTCTACAAATTAAATGTGTATTTTTGCAACTCACATACTGACACTCGATAAGATCGGCGAGCAAAAAGTCGCCCAAGTGGGGATCCATTCCCGTGGGCACGTCCGCTTTTAAGGCATAGACCTCCGGGCCCAGAATCAGCAGATCCGTGTAAACGCGCTCCACAGTGCACTTCTCACCTTCTTCGATGCGCGTGGGACACACCTTGGTCACCTGCAGAATCTCCCCTTGTTTATCGACGTATCCGTCGTCCAGCTGGATGTTGCACTCCAGGCGCACGCGATCTCCAGTTTGGGGTACGAAGTTTATTTCGATGTTGTCCAGTTCGACGGTGAGCTGCCCATACTCCGTCTCCACGTCGATGGAGGAAGCCATGCGCTGGCAAATCAGGCCTAAAACGCTCCTCATTTCCGTGTTGAATTGGATGGCTTTCTGGGTTTTTAGTTTATCCAGAGCTTCATCGATCTGAAAAGATCGTAACCAGTTGTGTTATATTATGATTTCATTATATACTATTCAAAGAGAGAAGAGATTTCCTCACCTGGTTCTGATTAGGGACCTCCCAGCTCGGCTCCACGATGCGCTGCACCTTGACCACCCGGATGTCCTCCTCGTGCTCCTTCTGAAAGGTCAGATATTCGACGACAGAGCCGACGCTCAGCTCCAAAAAGATGCCTTCTGCCGCCTTGCTATCAAAGAAAAGGTTTTTGTCGATGGCCCCGCTGTTGCTGGTCAAACTAGTGATCACTCCTTTTCTAGCACAGCAGCGGCTATCCTTGTTGATGTCCAAAGCGGACAATTTCTGCGTAATTTGACGCGTCTGGTTGGTTAAAGCTTCATCCATACCCGATGGATTTGCCTCGTTCTGCCGCCTAATTTCCTCTTCCATTATTCTTTGATCCAAGAAGCGATTCTCCTGCTCAGCACGCTCCATGAGAAACTCACGCTCCCGATCCGCGTTGGGGAAAAGCATGCGATAGAGTGAAATCATTTTGGTTCAGATTTCGTATGGGTTCTGTTTCTACTGAGCGGGTTTTTTGTCGAGACTCTCGTACATCCAGTCGGTTTCGCTGAGGTAGCCCAATTCCTTGCGCAGATTCTGCAGACGCTTCAAATGGGTCTCCGTCGTCTCCTCCGCCTTCCCGCCCTCGGCTTCGGTCAGCGATTCTGCCTTGTCAGCTTCAATCTCCGATTTCTTAGCCTGAAGTTTATGGGGCAATCGTTAGTGTAAACATTTGAGAGCTCGAACCAAGAAAGTGAATACACTTTGAGATCTTTGATCTTTCATACTATAATTCTTGTTTATGTTTAATCAATTTTTATTGCTTAAATGTAAAAAAGAAATAAGTATTGGGGTTTTCAAATTGATTTCACCACTTTAGAACGCCAGCAAGAAATGAATATCGTTTCAGTAGTGTGAAATTCCTATCCTTTTTTTAAATTAGTTTTGAATATGTCAGATTGAACTTTTAAATATGTAAACACAATTTTAAAGCCGTATTCCCGATATTATATTTTAGTAAATACGACGTAATTTAAACGGATGTCACGCACATGTGATTTACTTCCATAGTGAATTTACACGATTTTACTGTTATTCTAACTTTCATCTCTTTCGCACAGTCAAGCACGAATGCAACAACAAACCTCTGTTTCGTTGGTTTCGGCGGCAATATTGGAAGCCGTACCGCTCGTGGAAGCTTCTTCTTTAATAGTTATACTTCCAGATGCTTCGCTGGACATCGTCCAATCACCAATTCTTCAGAGATGTCGAACTATAGTTTAAAAATCAAAATCGGCTTAAGTTTTGGAAATTCAAAACCTCAATTGGTAGCCGGCTTTTTGTTATTAAACAGCTGGCTTTTGTTATATACCTAATACTTACAAAAGTTCTAAAACTTTATGATTAAAGGGACGATTTTACCAAAAAATCTTTAATATATATGTAGTTTATATACTTGAAAATTAAAAATTAAACACTGAACATCCCATCAAAAAGCGTCTTCCGCGAACTTTTGGATATTGTGTGGCCAGGAGTAAATGCTGTAAAATACCTTCCAGCTATAAGGAAAATACCAATAATGTCCCACTTTTGTTAACCCTTAAGTAGAGTAATATACATTTTTAAACATTGTGCTATTCATCATGGGTACCCCTCAAATAAATGTCATTTGAGCATAATTAACCTCTTATTGAAAATATTTCAAAATAGTTTGACTTTATAACAACTAAAATTATGTTTAAAAATATTCCGCATATAAATTATTGAAGCGACAAAAGAAGAAATTTCCGCCACACATGAGACGAATACATGGAAATTGAAAGCTGTTGAATCATCCTTCGACTTTCCTGTGATTAATACGTTTTAAGATTATGCAAAAAACTTTTCACAGTCAAATTCGGAAATCGGCAATATAAGAAATTACAGTGACACATGTGATGAATACTGTGGCGGAACGTATATAAATGGTTCACCCTAAACAGCGCACGCCGGCGCCGGGCAACTCTGGCCGCGAGACAATATAATACCGTCAGTAAGTGACAAGTTTTTATAAATTTTTAATTGCAACCAGTATTTTGTACACCTCTTATCCAACTTTCATAGTACGACATATACCTGTCACCATACTATTACAGGGTATATATCTTATCGATAATTGCTCATCTTGTCTTTTTCAGTTATTCCTCACACGGTCACACTGCCATCCCCCTGCGTCCACCCACTCGTCCAACGTGTTTGTGTGCAGAATTTCCACGGTTTTATTTAACCGACTGAAAATTGGCAATCCACCGTGCCAAATATAGCCCTTGATTGCTCAACTCCAAGGGAGCAGGACCTCGCCGAAGCAGCCAGTGCGTCAGCGTCAGGATCAGAAGATCAGGAGCACCCAGTGGAAAAGTCCTCCTCATCTCCGTTTTTTTTTGGCTGCCAAAGCGTCGCGTGTGCGGAACTTTCAGCGGTGAATAATCTAGGGTTTTTGGTTCTTGGCCAGCGGAGGAGCGTGTTGCAGTCGCAAACGGGAAGATGGTTAAAGCTAAAAAGGGCAAGAAAGAGATACTGACCAAAGTCGAAGGCGGTTCCTCGGCGGATGAAATGTGAGTCTCTCGAAAACCACCTGCCAACTTGGCAAACTTTCTAATGGGTCTGGGGTTTTTTACAGCTCCGATGTGGACAGCGACCAGGTGAGCCTTAACAACAAGAAAAACCAGGCCGCAAAGGTCAACAAAGCTGGTCAGGATGATGTCCAAGCGCTGACCAAGGGCGTCAAGAAGCTCAGTGTCAAGGGAAAGGGCAAGGCAGCCAAAAACGAGGACTCCGATGAAGAGGAGGAGGTGCCCACCAAAGGCAAGGCCTCCAAGAAGTCCGCCTTTGATCTTTTGATGGACGACGACGACCAGGATGAGCCGGCAGCCCCGGAAAGCCAGTCGGAGGAGGAGGAGAAGGTGGTGGCCAAGCCCCAGAAGAACGAGAAGAAGGGCAAGAAGGCCAAGCGCAAGAACAAGGACGACGACGACGAAGATCTGGACAGAGTTTTGGCCGAACTCCAGGCGGAGTACGCCGGCGAGGCTCCTGCCACTACCGTTGTCTCCCCCGAAGAACTGGCCGATGAGTTCTCCAAGAAGAAAAAGAACAAGAAGCAGGTCAAGCAAGCTCAACCGGCGGAAAATGCCGCCGAGGATGAGGCCAGTGAGGATGAGGAGGGCGGTGGCACCGTGAAATCAGCTGCACAGAAGAAGAAGGAAAAGAAGGAGCGCCAGAAGAGGGAGGCTGCCTTGGCCAAGCAGAAGGCAGCCACTGAACCCAAGGCCAAACCTGCAGAGAAACCTGCTCCCGAGCCAGAGCCCCCAGCGCCTGAGGAAATCCAACCGGAAGCTGGCGAGGAGGATGAGAAGACCAGCAAGAACAAGAAGAAGGGAAAGAAGGACAAGAAGGCCGAGCCCGAAGAGGAGAAAAAGGACACCAAGAAGAAGGGAATGTCCGCCGCCATGGTGGCCGCCATGCAGGAGCAGCTGAAGAAGCGCAAGGAGGAGGAGGAGCGCCTAGAGCGGGAGGAGGCCGAGCGCATCCGCCTGGAGGATGAGCGCGAGGAGGCTCGGCTGGAAGCAGTGCGCCTCGAGGCCGAGAGGAAGGAGAAAAAGAAGCAACGCGAGGCAGAGCGCAAGGCTCGCTTGAAGGCCGAGGGCAAGCTGCTCACCAAGAAGCAGAAGGAGGATCGGGCCAGGGCACAAGCTTTGCTGGAGTCTCTGAAGGCCCAGGGCCTCGAGATTCCCGATCCCAACGAGAAGCGACCCACGCGTCCAGGTAAATTGATATAAGATGTAAAAACCATTTGAACTTGCTAGTGAAAGTTATACTTTGTGCAACATGTCTTATTCAAATAGTTCAACTTTCTTTTTAAATTAATATGCAAGTGTTCCCCCTTTTGTTTTTGTGTTGGAAACCAAAAGTGTTGCAACTAGAGAGTTTTCTGCTCTTCATTATTTTTTTTAGAACAGCTTCTTATCCCCTTTTTCCTTCCAGGAACCCGCATCCGTCCGAACAAAAAGAAGGGTCCCAAGGAAGAGGCCGCCGAGGAGGAGGCCAAGGCGGCGGAGGCCCAGGCGGCTGCCGCTGCCGCCTCTGCGGCTGCCGACCAAAAAGAGGAGGAGGAGGAGGTCAAGGAGAGCTGGGACGCCACCGACAGCGAAGCGGAGGCGGAGCCCGAGGAGGAATCTTCGCAGGCCACCAACAATGGCAAGAACGAGGCTGCCGAGGAGGAGGATGAGAACACGGAGGATGATGACGACGATGAGGACGAAGATGACAGCGACGATTCCGATGAGGATAGCGATGACTCCCAGGAAAAGGAAACGGCGCTGGCCAACGATCCGGAGTCGCGAAGACTCCGCGCGGAGGCCCGAATCCTGAAGCGTCAGGAGGAGGCGGAAAAGAAGCGCTCGACCGATGAACTCAGAGCGGGAGTAGTTTGCGTGTTGGGACATGTGGATACTGGAAAAACGAAGATCCTGGACAAGCTTAGACGCACTCACGTGCAGGACTCCGAGGCGGGAGGCATTACCCAGCAGATTGGAGCCACTAATGTGCCCATCGAAGCCATCAAGGAGCAGACCAAGTTCGTGAAGGCTTCCGTTGGCTTCGAGCATCGCCTGCCCGGCCTCCTGATCATCGACACACCTGGCCACGAGTCCTTCAGCAACCTGCGCAACCGAGGATCCTCCCTCTGCGACATTGCCATCCTGGTGGTGGACATCATGCACGGCCTGGAGCCACAGACCATCGAGTCCATTCAGCTGCTCAAGAAGAAGAAGTGCCCGTTCATCGTGGCCCTCAACAAGATCGATCGGTTGTACGACTGGAAGCAGCTGGCCAGGCGGGATGTGCGGGATGTGCTGAAGGAGCAGGCGAGCAACACACAGCTGGAGTTCCAGCAGCGCACCAAGGAGGTGATCCTGCAGTTCGCCGAGCAGGGACTGAACGCAGCCCTCTTCTACGAGAATACCGATCCGAAGACGTACATCTCCCTGGTGCCCACCAGTGCGATCACCGGCGAGGGCATGGGCAACCTGCTCTTCATGATCGCCGACTTCTGCCAGAACATGCTGGCCAAGCGGCTGATGTACTCCGAGGAGCTGCAGGCCACCGTGCTGGAGGTCAAGGCTCTGCCGGGCCTGGGAACCACCATCGATGCCATTCTGATCAACGGCAAGCTGCGCGAGGGCCAAACCATGGTCGTGGCCGGCACAGACGGACCCATCGTCACCCAGATCCGCTCGCTCCTGATGCCCCAGCCCATGAAGGAGTTGCGCGTGAAGAACGCCTACGTGGAGTACAAGGAGGTGAAGGCCGCGCAGGGTGTGAAGATCGCCGCCAAGGACTTGGAGAAGGCCATTGCAGGCATAAACCTGTTGATTGCCCACAAGCCGGATGAAGTCGAGATCTGCACGTGCGTTTTATCTTAGAATTTACCTGTGATTGCTCTTAACTTTTTTTGGGTTTTTTAGGGATGAAGTCGCCCGGGAGCTGAAGAGTGCTCTTAGCCACATTAAACTGGCCCAGACGGGCGTTCATGTCCAGGCCTCCACGCTGGGTTCGTTGGAGGCTCTTCTCGAGTTCCTGCGCACATCTAAAATTCCGGTGAGTGAAATCAGAAATTCTTTTTTCGTAGAAAGACCAAAGGTCTTAACAGCGAGTGGTTTTCAATAATTATTGCATACTCTTGGGCGAAAGTTAATATTCGCAAGTGGGGAGAAAAAATGGTCTTGTTCAAGCGAATATTTTAGAAAGAAGAATAGTTGTAAAAGAAATGTTAAATAGCTGTCAATATTCAGAAACATTTTCTGCAATTAAAAAAAACCAGATAAAAGCAAATTCAAGTACCTTTATGCGTTGCAAATTATAGAACACACGTGCCCCAGCAAGTGCAACAAGTCCGAAATGAATAACAACCGAAAACCGAGGGAGAGAAAATCCCCCAAGGGAAAGATCTCGGACGATGCGCTAACATAATTTCGCACCGTTTGTTTAGACAATTAGCCGAAAGAATATTTTCGGGCCAACCACATAGATCCCAAGATCGGAGGGAGAGATAACCTTTTAATAGGTGAGCTCTGCAATTTATGTACACATTATTTATTTCGGCCCATGGCGGGATATTTCTAACAGCTCGTATAGTCCGACTATAAACAAAATATCTCCAAGCGAAAGACCTAGGAAAAGACTAGTACGCAGTTTGGAAAATTTGCGATTTTCTTGGCTAATATCCGATATCTGGCGAATTGAATTCGGTGCGGCGACAAAGTTGTAAATTCTGCGCTGGCCAAAAACTATTTCGGATGGGGAATTATGAGTGCGTGAGGAGGCGGGGGCCTTGGGACGTGGGATTTCTGCTCCTGTCTGGCGGACTGCGCCGTAAACATAAAAACGCGTATTTTTGTAAGATGCAGATGAGCCCAGAGGCCGTTCTAGCCAGCAAAACGATGCTGATGATGGCGATGATGAAGATCGCTGGGATGAATCATGCCGAAAGAAGCCGAATGGCGGGCGCCCAGCCAACTGAACACGCACTGTAACCATTTCAGTGCGCTGTCTGCCCCCCAGTCTCGAGAAGATTGAACACCCAACTAAAAATACTGGCCGCTCTATATACACCATGTAGATACGCACTCGCGGCGGCGGTATCTGCGTACTCTGGCATATTCCGGCGGTGTATATAGCATACTGGTGTACATGGCCGCAGCGGATATGACAACTCAAATTCCAATTTAGCAAATATTTATTTTCTAGCAGCGCTTGCGCCAATCAATTTCGCACGCCTTAAATGAGTGAGTTAATCGGGTTTGCTTGGCGTGTGTTTTTAATGGCAATTAGATAATCAGAAGCACTCGCCTCCTCGTTTCATTTGATACTCTTTTTTTTTTAGCTGGCCTCAGCTGCGGAAATGTTGCAACGGAAGCGCGGATAAAGTGAACAAAACAATCAACAGACGAGCGCATATGGGCCATTTGATCCAAGACCCCGACATTTGAGCGTTCTGTTGTTTCAGCAATTTTCTATTTTCGAGCAAACTCTTTTTCGTTGCCCCACACACAATTTGCGTTTTTTTCCGAGTCTGTTTCTGTTTCGTTTCTGTTTCTGCTGACACTACAAGCTCATTAGCGGCAGCAGCCCACATTTGCTAAGGTTTCCCACAGTGTCATCATCATCTCCGCGTGGCCATCATTATCATCGGCAGGCCGCAACACTTTCCCAGGCCCAAAGGTTCCTATACGATCCAATACGATCGGGCCGAAACGCCAACGCAATGCAAAGCACACCGGGCTGAAAAGCTATGCAAATTAGCCACCAAATGCAGCCACAGGGCGCGTGGTTGTGAGCCGAATGAACGAGCGACTGACTGGCTGAATGACTGACTGGTTGACTGACTGAATGATGAGACCAGGCCAGGGACGTTCCAAGCCACAAGGGGGTCGTCTCTCAAGTGGATCTCTCAGATATATATAAAAATATATTGATCAAGTCTAAGACAGAGCTCTGCTTTTAAAAGACTTCTAATGTGGTTTAATGGAAGTAGAAACAAAAGTAGATTGAAACACGTAACTTTATTTTAGTAAAGCAACTAAAAAGCCAAATGGTTTTTCCAAGATTTTAGCTAATTGAAAACTCTTTCAATCCCCTCCCCAGAAAACTCCGCTCCTATCAAAGTTCAACCATCTGAGCTTCCTTTTGTCTCTGCGGCCCACTGAAATAATTTCCAAGTCGCTTTCTGAGTCGCGCCCATTAGATTCGGTTTCGTTTTCGCTTTTTGGACGACCACTTGGACTCTTAATGAATGAATTAACAATTTCTGCAGTCGCATGCACATGTTGTCCATATGGCCACGACTTTTTGTCGGTTTCTTCGATATGGTGTCGTCGGTTTTTGCTCTTTTTCCGATTTTGTCACATTTTAGACGAAAAATTTGTCGCCGTCATGTTTAGTGCGCTCGTTTCGAAAATCAATTATGGCCAGCTCACTTGACTGACTGACTGACTGACTGACTGACTGACTGACTGAGTGAGTGAGTGACGAACGGACAGAGTGACAGAGTGACGGACTTCTGCTGGGGGCTATGTTCATTCATGATTTGAGCCAGAGATGCTGGCTGGCCATGTGGGCCGACCATCGACCACCGGCCGGCTACGTAACAAGTTTCGCCTTCGTTTAAGCCAAATTTAGTAACTGGCTAGCAGCATTCACAGACGCTGCGAAGCTCGGCTCTACCTTTTTTTGGACCGACTAATGCTATGTAAACTGCCATAAAACTTTATGGTTATCGCCGCCAGAGTCATTTTTCTAGGCACCCACATGTGATGGCGGCCTTTTGGATTCGGTGCCTTTGCTATTTGCCATTGCTTTTGCTTTTTGCCTTAGCTTTTTTCTTGCGTGGCCGTTGAAATACGAGCAGGGTTGCCAATTTATTGGCACTGCCAAACTGACGGCCGGAAATTGTCATTTGAGTGCCGCTGGCCGCGGCTGCCGTTCGAGAAAAAAAAAACCAGAAACCGCTCAAAAGTTTTGTCTCGCTTAGCCCATTAATTTCTGACACGTCGCAGGTTGCGTTGATTGGCGATTGCCAATCAATCTTTCGCTTGCACCGTTCCATTAATTGGTATTCAGGCGATCTGAACCCTTTCCGTCACCCGAGGTGTAAAATAAATCCATCGATTTTGATTTGAAGAGGCAGAACAACCTTTAAATGGTTAGGATAGATTTACATCACATTGGTATCTGTAAACATGTTTTCTTGCATGAACTCCCCCTGTTTTTTGATTGAGTTGTTCGCCTCTTTAATTTGGTCAGACTCATACATCATTTGATTGGGTGTTTTTGCATTTAATTAATTGACAATAACGCAGCAAAACGAACAATAAGTTGGCTTCCAAAAAGAGCACACGCCGGGAACAATGAATTGTATGGAAAACAAATCAATTACAAGTGTGCTGCTCTCCCGCCTATATTTAATTTTCGTTTTTAATTGCGTCCCACATATTGAACTGCATTTATGGAAGTTGTGGCTATACTCGTAGTTGTTATTTGCCATTTCATTCATTGGTAAACATTTCAGCTTGTTTGTACAGGGACACGAAAACACTCGCACACACTGGCACAGATGCTCGTACAATAATTCATTTCATTGATCAAATAAACATTTGCTACACATTTCGATAAATTAAACCCCCAGCCCCGCCCCTTCTTCCCTCCGCTCAGCAGGGCGTATCTGTAGAAGCAATAACAACAAACAACAAACAGCAAGTAAAGCAAGACCTACCGATCACTGCCGCCTTTTTGATTCATTCATAAAATTGATTGCACTTGTTGCCCAGCTTTCGGTGGCCATGTGTTTTGCGGAGAGTGTGCGTCACAATCACGATTAACCATTGGCCCATTCCACCTTATTTTTACCCCCAAGCGTCTTTAAATACTTTTCGAAAATATTCCCCTTAAAATAATGTAGGTAGATCACCTCCTTCTTCATATTCAATAGAAACAACAAGTATTTTTGTTTTTATAAGTATGCATTCAATTACTTAATGTGAGTCAGCTGGGTCTTAAAAATAAATATAAAAACCCATAAATTGTCAGCTTATTAGGCGTTGGCGTTCTTTGGAAAACATGCAACTAAACATATCCATTCTTTGGGCCAAATAACAGAGCCGATAAAATCCATGTTAAAATGCATTTTTCCGCCTCCAGTCAACAGACATTCCTCGGTTACGTCATGGAAAATGTTTTCGCCAGATTTATGGTCCGTTGGCTGCACATTTTTATGATCGCCTGCCGGAAAAACCGAGCCAAAGACAACATGAATGAACGGCTGCTACCACTCTCCATCGCTCTGTCCCTCTCTTTTGGCCATTGCAAACACCGTTATGCATTTGGCCCGCAATTTCTTTAGCCGTTCGCAGTGATGGGAAGTTGTGGTGTTGATGATGAATGGTAAAATATGTTTTATATTTTAGTTGAATTTTATTGAAAGGATAATATATTGTTACCTTACCGATATTTTAAATATTTTTGAGTTTGTAAAAAACAGAAACTCCCACCCAATTTCCTACCATCACTGTCTGATTGCCGTTGATTCTGCAGCGGTGGCTTCATTAACATTTGCCCCTCGTAGCCATCAACCATCACCATCACCATCAACGGCCAAATGCAGCGGTGCTGCCGGCTGCCATTCATAAAAAGGCGGTGTGCAGCTCTCCAAGTTGGTTGGCTGCCATTTGGCTTATACAACGAACGAACAGCCTGAATTCGCTGCCCGGGCACCGGGCACCCGCAACGTGGCAACGTGGCTCTGTTCGTGTTCATTCACTCATTTTGCAATCCACACACTCGAGCGAGTGCCTTACCTGTACCTGTATTTTCTTTGCACAACAATGTGTCCCGCAACTCTTTTTGTCTCGCTGGCTTTTCCTCACTGCATTTTTCATGAATGAAAAAATTGCGCACTCGAACAATTGCTAGACGGTGGAGGTCTTCTTCATTTTTGAACGGCCACCAGTGATGGCAAATTTGTAGGCTATTCTGTAATATTTAAAAAAATTAATAATAAATATTCAACACCTCTTGAAAATCTGAACTGAACAGAAGAGAGTATTTGTATTAATTAGGTTTTGATAAATAGTTTGTTTGCATCCTGAACCAGAAGTTGGCAACTCCAACTCAACCTGTTGACCTGCTCCAATCTCCTTCCCTTCAGATAAACTGATGGGTGGGGGGATATATCTCCCTCTTTCTCCACCAGATGCTCCATTGCTGCATTTGGGCGAGAATGTAATTATGTAGCCATCAGCTATTCCTATGCATTCATTGCGCTGCGGTTGCCTTTGCCATAATTGTGTGCCACTTGTTGTTGCTGGCTTTGGATTTGGTTTTAGTTTTGGTTTTGGATTCGCATTCGGATTCAGATTCAGATTCAGGTACAGATTCGGATTTGGATTTGGTAGGTGGGCCAGGTGGGCAGATCCGCTCGCAGTCGCAGTCGCAGTCAGCCGCAAATGTGTACGGCCGACGTAATTTGATTCCCACATGCATTTTAATTAAAAGTAAACAACAGAAAGTTTCGCAAATACAGCTCGTCATGCTCGGCGACTTGTCGTCCGTTTGGGGCCGCCATTTGGCACCGCATTTGCAGGTTTGCATGCGAAATGCGAAATGCAAAACGCGAACGCGAACTATTCAAAACTATGCGAATCCACTGCCAACGGTTGCGAATTGCGGATTTCGCCCACTTGCGGCAGAAGCTCTGCTGCAGTAGCGGCAGTTAAGATAATTAGCCACTCTTGGCCAGCATTTGCGACTGGGTGGACATCAATGCTGCAGCGCAGCAGGTGTGGAGATAATTAGCCAAACTGGTCAGTTTCTTATTTTTTGGGAAGATGTTATATGTATTTGGTTAGGAAAATGGTTAAGTTTCTACTTGCAAGTTTAGGAGTTCTTCTGATAGTGGCTTTTCTGAATATCTGGAAGTATAATTTAAACAAAAATCCTCTATTTTAATCAACAAATTCTTTATTCTTATGCTGATTAAATTACGTTTCAACACGGCAAAGGAACTACGCAATTAATGAGCGAAAAACAAAATGCCACGCAAATATCTTGGGAAATATTGAAGGCATAAAAACTGGCTAGATCGAGTGGCGTGACGTCTTCGGGGGCCCATTCATGAATGGCTCGATGGGGAGGGGAGTAGAAGGGGGTAAATGCGACCCCGAAGAAAAGACCGGACCCAGAAAATGTCCATTGTTGGGTGCTTAACCCTCTCCCCGCCCGCTTACTTTTTTTTTTTTTTTTTTTGGACGCTCTTCGTTGAATTTCATGAATGAATTTAATTTCGCTGCGGTCGTGGTTCTTTTTCTTTTTCTCATGTTTAGCGTGTTTCGTAGTACTAGTTGGGCATTACGGTCGTCGGCAGGAAGGAAGTGAGGTAAGAAGCAGACAATGCCAATGTTTTCATTAATGCGACGCAGTTGCCAAAAACAACAAAAACAAAATGCCTCGGCAAGAAAACAAAAAGTAAAACTACTGCGGCATCACGAATTGTAAATGCCCTTCCAGGTATAAAAGGATTTGATCAGGAAATTTAAACGCAGATCGTTTCGGAATTTAATCAGAAATAAATTTGGGAAGTTAGAGGTTCAGGAAGTGCAGGATTGGGTCACCATTCTATGACTCTGGGTTGTTTAAGTGAGGTTTAAGGTTTTAATTAATGCTGCGATACTTTCTGCAAGAGTATTAAGAAAGAAGGAAGGCATGAGCAAAAACAATGAATGAATGAGTGAACCCAAGTGAATGAGTAAATGAATGAATGTATAAATGGAAAGACGAAAACAAAAACAACGACGGAAGCAATTCTTCCTGCCCCACACACACACACACACACAGATACACTATCAATGGCACACAGATACGCAGAGTATCCCACAGATACTTTCCAGAGCTTATTGCTTAATTTTCATTCATAAACACGTAGCGACCGCATTTTTCGGAAGCAAAGGAAGTTGAAAATAATAGATTTGTGTTTGCATTTAAGAACCTCAAAAGCGAAGCGGAAGTTCTCGAGGAACGTGCGGCGTTCTCGAAATCATCGCAATTTTCCAATTCCGAAACGGAGGTTTCCTCGACATTAATCAGCTGTTTGGGCTGTCTGTCAGTCACTAAGTCGACATATCCCATTAATTTAGTTGTTTTCCCATCAAAATTGGCATTATTGACGGCGTTTTAAAAGATTTAAGCAATCTATTTGTGATCTGAGCAATAAATGTTGAACAGTCCCCCTTCTAAGCCGCCATAAAACAAACGATTGCTGCTATGATATCATTATCTCTATTTTTATTTAATATAACCCTTTCTGCTTTTAAAAATCAGTTTTCTAGAGTTTACTATACGGATTTTATAAACAATCGCCGAGTGTGTTCGTTCACCTGTCTTGGCTTTTCGCCCGTGTCATCGATAACATTGAGTGGCGTTGCCATTTGACGTCAGCAGCAAAAAAGGGGCGGCTGGTGGGCGTGGCCTTCCACCTTAGGCATCCATGTTCGTGGGGCTCTCTTGCTAATTAGCTCTCCATTCGCATGCGTTTTCATTTGCCACTTACGCACTTCCCGCCCACAAATTCCGCCTTTTCTCGTCTCCGGCTTCTGGCTTCTGGCTTTTCAGGCCTTTTCTGCTGATTCCGATTGTGGAAACTGTGGATGCTGCTGCGTCAGCCAGCCGCACGTACTGATTGTTTGTGCGAAATGATATTCAGCTGGAAAGCGACTGCCGGCTGCCACGTGGAAATCCAGCCCACTCCCTTTTTACAGCTCCCTAGCAACCCAATCAAAATCACACTCAAAAGAACGTTTACCCTATTCAATATTAAATAATTTATACTTTCAAAGGAAGATCATTGGAGATCATCTAACCACTGAAAAGCTATCCCCCAACAAGTGTTTTGTTTTATAGTTTAAGTACATTTTTCATTATTTGATAAATACTAAATAAATACTTTTTTGAGTGCAGAAATGGGGGCATTCGGCTATCACTTCCGTTTGCACCCGTTTTCCGTTTTACATGCAATCGACGACTGCTCTCCTTCTCGCCTCCTCAATTACTATGAATTTTCTTGTTCGCTTTGTTGCCTCTGTGCCACAATTGCATACAACAATAAACTTCCGATTTCATTCATTGTTTTGCTGATTGCAAAACTCTTTCTCCCGTTTTTTCTATTTTTTTTTTATATTTTTCCTATTTGCTTTCCGTTAGTTACACACAATTTCTTTTATAACAGCGTCAACAGCCGAGGCGTTTCGCAGTAATGAATGAAATGCTCGTGAATGGGTTAAGCTGTAATTGAATTCAATTTACAATCGAAGCACTTGAGCAGAAAGCAGGCAATTTTAAGTGACGTCAGACGAGTAATTACAAGTGCTACATAAGTTAATACAAGCTACTTTCATATTTATTTATGTTTTGAATACCACCTAAAATGAATTTCATATCAAGCTTAGTTTAATCTATAAAAAATTTATTGTATGGAAGCGCTTCTTAAACCTTCAGCCTTAATACGTAATTTATGCCACGATAAACTGGCATTTAAATTAATCCGATTAATCTAGCCGATAAGCCGACTTTTCAATTCAACAACTCCAACAGGCAGCTGTAAAAGAGAGAGTAAAACGAGTGTGCCAGTTGTTAATGGGTTTAATCGGGGGCCTCTCATTATTTCGGTCTTATCGACAACGCATGCATATCCGGTGGCGCAATTAAGTCGCTATCGACAGCAAATTCCATTTGCCCCACTCACTGAAGTCCACCACCAGCACCACAGCAGCCCACCAGAGCCACCGAACCGCCCAACCATCCAAGTCCATCCATCCATTCATTCATGTCAGACTCTCGCGCTGCGCTGTTATTTTTATCAATGATCATTTGTAATCATCTGGCGACGAACAAAAAATAAATAGAGTAAAAATTGAACAGCTTCGATGTGAATGAACTCATCGCCAGACTTTCCCGTCTCCTTCTAATGTCTCCTGGCCATTTGAGAAATGTTTCACTTTAGTGGACCGCTTGTTTAGTTTAGGTTCTACTATATTCCTCTCTTCGATTTTCCCATTTCGTTTATTTTTTATGGCCGTGCGACTAAGAATAGCCAAAGTTTTCTTTGGGTCAAATGCTTTTGGGCCAACTGGCGGCGAGGAGGAAGCATAAAAAGAAAACTTTGCAGCCGCACATGGTTGACAACATAGTATCTCAAAGTATGTTTACATGTCTGCTTTCTGATGAATAAAATACTTATAAATATCCAACGAGTCCATTTGCTGAACAAGTTTGTGTTACTCTTTTAAAAATAGGTTTGCAAATTTAGTTTCTGTATGAAACAAATTGGATTGGAATTTAAATGAACAACAAAGGGTTGTAATATCTTTAAACAGTTCCTAATTCTATAAATATTTGGTTTCTTCAAGTAGTATATTGTTCTTTAAAATAAAAATTCTGTTGTTGAAACTAATTCTAACTTGAAACCCTTTCTATTTCTTTCAGTACTCTGCTATCCGAATTGGACCCGTAGTAAAACGCGATGTGATGAAGGCCTCCACAATGTTGGAACACGAGGCGCAGTGAGTAAACCCAAACTTATCGTTTCTATGCTCACTTTCCCCATTTTGTTTGCGAGGCGGATGTGTCATATGAAATTATACAAATCGCAGTTCTTAGGAATTCGCTGAGTGCGGAATTCGTACCATCGAGAACCCAAGAGACTTCGGAGTAGTAGTAACTCCACTATCGAATTCACTTTCGAGGGGTTTATTGAACTCCCCCATTGAGGGATTTCGCAAGCAGAAATTGTGTCGACAGCTGGGAAATTGATCCCGAGGTTGTTTCTATGAATGACAAACGGAACGGCTGGGTATTACCCAATGCGACGAAAGTGATGGCTCGGGAATTCTTCAGAATTATATTTCAGACACTCGATAAGTATCTCACTTCCTGGTGACGAGATTGCACAGAATGTTGGTAATACCGGAAGCGAGTTAAGTCACTTTAAACCCAGAACTACTTTTTGGAATTCAAAGTGCCCTTTCCCCACTATCCAAGTATTCAATGAACCCTTTCCTTGTATTTTACCACCTCTTCGGCTTGTGCCTTTAGCACTTCCTCCCGAGAACGTGTCCAACTGGCGGGCAACACCTTCTGCCGTCCATTTGCAACAGCACTCACATTTCATCGGCGAAGCAGATAGATACGGCTGATGCAGTGCCCCCTCCATGTTCGCCTACATTGTAGGCCATTGCCGCTTTATATTCGAGAGATTGAAGCAGCAAGAGGTGAGAGGTAAGAGGTGCGGCGAGACAGCGAGAATAAACGACTTTTTGATATATGACAACGAACAATGCAATTTTATTGCCGCTTAACTTCATTAACACACAGCTCCCCGGCAAACCCGTCCACCCGCCACTTGATAAACAACGCAATACGGTCGGATCTTTGAAGATTGTGTGTGATATTGGCCGACGAAGGAGCCGCTGGAGCTGGTCGGGTTAAGTGATTCATTTAGCGGCAATCACAAAATGCACTTTGCCGGGGGGATAAGCCGGCCGAGCGGGCGGGACGCCCATGATTTATTGTGGGGAGCGGACCTTCGAGCCGGCGGCTTTGTCTCATTAGCGGCACTAAGTGGTGCCAAATAGTCCACTCGCCGTATCTACTACATCTATATCTTTCTCCTCCAGTCCAATCCTGTCTCTTTTGCCTGCCTGCCGGTTTCCAATTGCGAAACTATCTTCGTGCTCTGCTTGGCAACAAGAAAAGCCTCAGATGCAGATGCAGATACAAATGCAGATGCAGATACGTTTGCGTTTACTCTTACGTTTACGGCCCACTCAAATTACGCTGTCACAAGCGCGAAAACGGAAAATGTGGCCGCGATTGTGTTTGTATCTGTATCTGGTGTCGCTGTATCTTGTATCTGCGCCCAAGACGGAGCACTTCCGTTTCCGGCCCTTCTGCGCATGCGTGCGTTCGCCTTAGCCTCCGCCAAGAGTTGCGTCCACTTTTAGGCCCATATCCGCCCATCGGAGCGATACCCGCCCAAGTATCTCCTGCCATGTGTGGCTGCTCCTCGCTTATTTATGATTTCTACGCGCGTGGAATTTTCGAACCATAAAATATTGCATTTTACGCTGCGAGCAGCGACCATAAGACCATAAAGATCGTCTGTCCGGGAGAAGAGTGCCTTCGATGGGTTCTCCACCATACTGTATTCCATTTATCTCCCTTCTGGGGCTGTCGCGTTTACGAGTCCCATAAAATGTTTAACTCTTTTTATGTGATCTTTATGCATAAAATTGGCTCGTCCACTCGAAAGTGATCCGCTCCAACAATGGATGGGTATTAATTGCCCCTCAGGGGAATCCTCGTAAAAGTTTGCCGCGAAAGTGATTGTTTCGGGGGGTTCTAAATTGTTAATGCTTGGAAATTCACTATTTTAATGCATGATCTCTCCGATCTCAACTGGAAATTAAACTTCTATCAGACACACAGATCCATATATCACAACGACTTCCGATTAACCCTTGTCATATTAGTTCTCTTCGCTCCCAAATTGCCCATAATTCATAGATCGATTAGTCGTGGACTCTCTCCTAAACTGTTTTCGCCTCTGCCCAAACAGATTTGATCCCCATCCCAATTCCAATTCCACAATCCCGTACGTGTTCGACAGATCCCAAAAAGAGCCCCTCATTAGCCGACTCCACTTTGGCTTTGGGACCTTTTCCTGTCGACGCAGAGCTTCGATTCTCGAAATGCCAACCATTTCCTGTCATTGAAAGCCCCGCACGGCAGAGTTGGTCAAGCCGAACAAACAACATCTTGAGCCGCTGGATTCGACGGACGAGAGGTTGTTGGTTGTTGTGATTTCAATTATTAACGCTTCCTGGTGCCCCAATCGCCATGTGGCCCGATCATTAGGCCAGCTTCTTCTTCGGACAGGAAGAGCAGCGCGGCAGTGGTGTCATTATGGTTATTGTTATTATTATTCAGCTCGTTGGTCGTCTCTCTGATTACATAGACGTAACACTGGCTTTTAATTGTTTTAAATCACCGCGATCTCTGTTTGTTTTCTCCCCCGCCCCTTTAGGTATGCTACGATCCTGGCCTTCGACGTGAAGATCGAGCGGGAAGCGCAGGAAATGGCCGACTCCCTGGGCGTGAAGATATTCCAGGCGGACATCATCTACCATCTCTTCGACAAGTTCACCGCCTACCGCGAGGAGCTCAAGCAGAAGAAGCGCGAGGAGTTCCGCTCGGTAGCCGTCTTCCCCTGCAAACTAAGGGTAAGTCAATCATATTTTTATTTGCCACATCAGCCGGAAAATAAAAATTCACCCAATGATGCATTTAGAGAATTAAAATACAAACTTTTAGAGGCAGGTTACTTCAAAATAAGATTAAAATAAGAGAAGTTATGGACTTAGAATTAGAAAATTATGGTCAATTTTCAGCAAACCCATTTTTTGCAAATTCGGAAAAGGGTTGTAGTATAAAAATTAAAGAAAATCGGTCAAAAAAATAAAAAATTAAGTAATGATGCAGTTTGTTAGATCACATCACCAGTCGGGAACTAAAGACGGAAACCCAGGGTTTCGGTGTCATTATGGACATTATTTTAATGCGCCCATGTTCGTGTTCCATTTCCCCCTTCTCTCTCCCCTTCCTCTCGCGATCTCCTCCTCCGTGGCTCTTCCGCTCAGCTGCAATTACCCCCGAAAGCTACAGGTGTAAAATGCAATCTGCCGCGAACTGAAAATGAGAACGAGAATGAGACCGAGACTCCAACTCCAACTCCAACAAGTAAGACCCAGAATGGATCTCCAGCTGTGGCTCGTCTCGTCTTGACGCTGGCTTAATGATGCTGGCCAACAAGAACGGAGCGGCGGCTCCAAACTCCGGGCTGGGGGCTACGATATACGTACGTGGTAAGCCGGGCCAAGACAAGCACTCAACAAGCGATTAGAGGCAAAGCCTCGGATCCCAGCGGACGGACGCCTGCATCACGTCCACACTTCCTGCTCAAATAATGTTTAAACAGCGTATTTGATTTATAGGCAATCATTAGATTTCGGTCGTATGCAATGTTGGGACTCAACACGCCACACTCTAAACTCCACTCGGGGCCACTCGGGTCCACCCTGGTCCACTCTAGACCACTCTAGCCACTGGGCTCCCACTGTGCTGGTAATTGGACACACGGCGCACAGCTGTTGGTAGCATTCGTTCGATCTTGTACACTCAAAGTAGTGCACTCTAAATATTAATTTTGAACAGATAAATATTTTTAAATATATTTATTTTTCATTTTATCTTCTGAATTTGATTCATTCGAACTAAATTTATATGAAAAGAAAATTTCAACTCAGTGTCCCATTTTTAGCAACCAATTCATAATTCATAAATCATTATTCCGAGTGCATTTGGCCACTCTGAACCCAACGATTCTCTGGAGTCCAAGTCGCAGTCGCAGGTCTTGTAATAACAATGACGTTGTTTAGTTTGAGTTATTAACTCGCCTTCTGTCTTAAGGAGTTTACTGCGGAGCTGGGGAGAAATGGGCATGTGCATGTGGAGCTGGAGCTGGGGAAACGTGTTCTCTGGGCCACTTTTCTTTTTCCCCGGCAACGTACGATCCATTTTCTTTGCCGGCTGATTCAGATTGTGCCGCTTCTTCAGCTCCGACTTTTGCTGCAGGCGGCATCCCATTTGAGGCCTTCTTCAACAGTTGACGCAACGGAAATTAAGTTGTTCTTGGTGCAGCCAAAGTTGTTTTCGTCGGGTGTTTCTACTACACTCTATTAACGAGACTGCAACATTAAGTAGGAATAATATGTTTGCAATTAAAACAACTTTATATTCGGCTACAATATTTTAAGCATCCATGAATTACAAAAAGATCTAAAATAATTGAAGAGTTAATAACTAAGCCAATCTCAGGAGGTTTAAAGCCATTTACCTCCTTTATAGAGTATCCAGTATCCCAACTGACTTATAGTTGTTATATTATCTAAAAAAATCCGTTGTTGGCATCGGCTAAGCCACCATAATTATCGGGCATTACTTAAAAAGTAGTTGCTAGCCGGCCCATCGTAATCGATCGTTCCCGATTGCGCCGCTTATTAGTTATACCCCACAAAATCATCGTCTATCTAACAGTCATCGATCGATATAATTATTAGTTGTTTCATGATATCTCCTCGATTCTATCCCACAGATACTGCCACAGTTCATATTCAACAGCCGAGATCCGATCGTGATGGGCGTGATGGTGGAGAACGGCATTGTCAAAGTGGGCACTCCGATTTGCGTGCCCAGCAAGGAGGTAAGTGCACTGAGAAAAACAGATGATGAAACTATAGATATATGTTATAAATATTTCCTTACAAATGTGATATATGGGTAATTACAATAAGTACTTAAGAGGATGCAAAGACCCATAGGAAATCTTAAAAAAAAGTATATATCAAAGATAATTTGGAATATTTTTCCCTCTGTTTCCCACAATCTATTCGCTGGCAAATATTTGACTATTCTGCGAGTCGCGCCCCACAAAAGGTGCCATTCAATGGGCACGCATTGGGCGCGAGTGGTGCAGATCGGCGGAGTAGATCGCGGTGGTTGGACTAAGGGGTTCTCTATGCGCACAATGGAGGCACAATGGAAGTCCTTGTCTTCGGACTCGATGTCTTGTCGGTGTGTTGTCTTGGGAATCGTGTCAAGTATCCAGTATACAATGACAAGGAGGCCCGACGGACGAGCTGTTTGTTTGATTTGCTACCTTCGGCGGGGCAGCTTTCATTGTTGACACAGGTGGTGCGGTTCCATCGCCATTATACTGGGCTCTCCATCTGGATGTGCGTGCGGAATTGTGAGTTGTGACGGGGAGCTGGGCAATAGTTATTAGCTCATCGGGCGAACGAATTGCGTCGCAAAACGCTCTCGAATTCCATCGTAATAACCACCGACTGGCAGGCTCAATTATTGTCCTTCCGTTGATGTCGATATAAAAAAGAGATATGGGAGATGGGAGAAGGGAAGCAACGACGACGACACTCATTTCAATTTATGCGCCGACATGTCCTGTTTCCCGTTCGCCAGCGACAACAACTGTGTTTCCTTTCCACTTCTGCCACTCCTGCCACTTCTGCCACTTTTTGTCGCTTCTTCGATCTTGTGCCAAAGGGTTTATGTTCTGCTTCCCGTACCGCTCTTGACTTTTTACCATTTTCAAGGGGGAAGGGACAGTGGCAGGAAGACGCAGGAGCAGGAGGACCATTCATTGGCAATTATAACTTCCTCAATTATCCGAGAGAAGCGCTGCTAAGCTGTGCGCTTCCCGTCATTCATCGTCATTCTTTTCAACGTCTTCTCCCTCTTGCTTCTCGCTTTTTGCCAGCTTTAATACTGATTTTAGTGCGGGGATACCCTACGATACGTTCAGATCGAATTTGTGGGTTATGGGGAACAAGACAAATCGAATATAGATAGGATAGGATATATATTATTAGGTTACAGTAAATATTATATTAAATTAATTAAAGTTATTAGTTAGGTAACCCCAATAGTTTCTTTCTCTTTAACCCTTTTTTATTTGAAATAACAATGTAGTTATTCCCTTAATAAAGCTGAATCTTCCAGTTAACCTTGGTGTAGCTCATCCAAAGAGTCCCCGCAATTCAAGCTCACTTTCCGCTGGCGGACACATGTGATCGTAGCCCCTGCTGCAGGTCCATATGTCCATTGGCAATCCCCCTCCTGATCCAATTCTACTTTAGATCTGCACTTCATTTCTGCCCAAGAATGCTGCCATCGTCATCGAGGCCGCTTTGTCGCTGTGCCTTGCGACTTTGCCCGGCTGATTTTTGCCTTTGCCTTTGCCTTTGCGATTTCCGTTGACTTGCAGCTGGGGGAGCGCTTCTTCGAAAGGGTTGGGGACTTCTCCGGCTCTGGCAGACCCCTCCTCCTCCCCGCTCCCCCTCTCTCCCTTTCCCCAGCGACAACTTCCTCTGGCTGCGCATGCGTGCCAGTCGCTCCACCAGATGTTCTCGTCTGCGGCCCTTGTCTCTGCCTGCCTGCCTGCCGTTGATTACATTTATTAATTATATAATTAAATCTGTAATGGCAGGCCACTCCGATCACTTGCTTTCTGGCCTTTGTTTCTCGGTCCGCGTAATTGTTTTGAGCCGGCCAAAACATCCGTTCTCACACGGCTGCGAAGAAGACAGAGCCCAAACCACTTCCACTTCCCGTTTTGGGGTTTGTCAATCCGTTTCGGCCACGGGGGTTAAACAGCGAACAGCGAACAGGTGACCATTGTCTGGCGCTCTGGCTCATCAACCCTTAACCCCTGAGAATTGGGGACTGAAAGTGTCAAAATGCGGTAACGGGATACGTCTGCCGACGGGTCGATGGGTTAACCAGGGTGAGGAATCAATGGAGGGTCAGTGGTCAGAGGGTTCATTGGTTTCTGGGGTTAACCAGGGGTTGTGATTGAAGGTTGCTTAAAGGGATTGAACAAGTACAATAAATACAAATTTTTAAAAGTGCAGCTCTTCAGTAAACTTCCTCTTTTAGGAAGACTTTTCCAAACAGTTTTTGATACAAAAGAAATCACCCAAATGGCTGCTCTAAAATTTCCACAGGTCGAAGGTGTTTACCCAAGAAAGCAAAGAAAATCAGCGCCTGATTAATCTTGTTTAGGGAAATGCTGATGATCTCAGGATCGTTTCCTCTTCGATACAAAAAACTTCTTCGACGAATTCAATTAAAATTGCCGATCATCCCACCTTTTATTTAGCCTTGAGGTCACCGTGGCTAATTAAGCAGCGATCCGGCGATCTCCCCTGCTCTTTCGCACTCCCCAAGCTCCGCGGCCGTTGTTTATCCTCCGGTCTCATCAGATCCGCCCCGATCTGCCCCCGTGCTCGTACATCAAAGAGTTTCACCTTATCGAAGGCCCGATCTAAGCCAAACACGCCCCATCTCGCACATCCTCATCTCCCACTGACATCACCATCATCCGAAACCCAACCGAACTAAAGCGAACCGAACCGAGTGGAGGAGCGATCATCTGCATCCACCTCAACCGGGGAATACATTCGTTATTCGTTCCCCTCGCTTCCTCCTGCGACTGCCTCCACTGCCGCACTTAAAGCCAAAGCCAAAGCGAAAACAGCAAACGGAAGTTGGAGGCGTTACCCAGCGCCAAATCCAAATCCGTCAGTCACTTAACATATGGACGTTGCGATGCGAGTGTGTACGTGTCTACGACCAATTTATACGGGGGATATCTAGCTAAGGCTACTACAGTCCACCCTCTATACAGCAAACTTTCTAATTAGCTTAAAAAAATATAAATTTCAACTATGTTTTCTATAAAGAAGAGTAATTCCAAATAAGTTAAACTTAATATCCAAAGAAAGATCCCTTATAATTGGAACTGCATTTCTGATTCCTTTTTTTATGGTTTACAAATTGCAAACAGTAGTATCCCCTTTAGAGTCGCCACTGTAATCGAATCTGGTTGGCTCCTAAAGACGGTCTTTAAGGCCGGGGAGACAGACTCTGGCAGATCACTTGCAGATCGTCTTGCATATGTGTATATAGATATTACTTTGCGGTCTGCTGTTGCTGTTGCTGATGCTGATGCCTTTCCTTTGCACAGACCGCAGAGAAACCAGAAATCTGGTGGCAGAAAGAGTTTTCGGTTGCGCCGCCTGCGATGGCGATGGCGATGGCGAAGTGAGATCGAAGCGATCGATATCTTTAATATTTTCATTCATGCCCCGAGTGGCTGGCTGCTTGTAGCGGAAATGAAAGCTCATTCGGTGCGCTGCTACTGCTGGTTTTTGTTAATTAAATGGCCCGCGGGCTCTTGCAGTTTTTCGATTTATATATACACGTATATTTATATAGTGGCAGTTGCCTCGGTTCCGATCGTTCCGATCCCATTGCCCCTTCCCTTTCTGTTGATTCTGTGGCTAATTTATGGGCTGCGAGTTAAGTTTAAGTAGGTAAGGGTGCCTCTCCCCCTTTCCGCCTTTCCCCTCCGAATCTCTTAATATTTTCAGACCTGCCGGGCCATTTAAGTGCGAGATTTAAAAAAAATTTACATTCTGTTACTCCACCCCGGGAGCTTAGAGCCTCTACAATTTCTTGTAGAGGATTCGTTATCAATGATTTTCGATCGTACCGGTGATAAGCCAGTAGCGACTTATCCTAGCGGTGGGGATGCCACCTGGCGCCATCTAGGAGTGACGAAAGTTTTTTATTGTTGGGTCCATAGTAACGTGGACGAGGGGGTGTGCGGGTCCGGGGAGCCGAAATTTGTTACTAATGTTAAGTGAGCGATAGAGCATAGAAGTGGTGGAGATTTGGAAAAAGAGACCGTTTCTTTTTCTCGGGGAGCCTGGGGCTCGACTTGAACCCGGGCCTTCCGAACCGGAGGCCAGCGCTCTACCTGCTGGGCCACCGTCCCCCTCGAGATTTAAGTATTATTTTTTATTTCGCCGGTCGCCTCAATTGTTGAGCCTTCATGGCTTACGACTTCCGTTGTCGCCGCAATAAGAACTGAGTTGATCTACGCGATTCTTTTTCTGTTTCTGTGAATGAACGAGTGAAAGAGTCTTATGGGCTTTGCCGTTGAGATTGTGAAAGCGCTTTTTATGGAGAAAACAGAATGAGATAGGGTGGGGAAATCCCTTGGACTGTCTTCTGCTATCACAATAGGCAACAAATATATTATAGGTCTTATAGATTCAATTGAAGTGTTATTGTTTCCCAATAATATAATGTCTTTCCCTTTAAAATGTTACAAGGAATTAGTTTCTGGTTTCTCGACTACTTGTAGGATTGCTCAAAATTAACACCCTGATTATTGCGTTGCTAATGCCCAAGATCTCCTGAGATCTTCTTACCCATCGAATTCGAGAACCCGTGAAGAGTATCTCACTTTTCAGATAACAATCAATGATTTCCGTACACTTCCTCTGGGTTTTCGGAACTGCGTCATCTTTCGCCGTTCGGGGTTGCTAAGAATTCAAATCGGTTTACGGATACGTGTGCGACAAAGGAGCACTTTAGACAATGCCACAATAAGTGGCACACGAAGAACCACCATAATAATGATGATGGTGGATGGTATATGGTAGATGGTAGGGAGAGGAGCGGTGGTGATGAAGCGATAGAAACAGCGTTAAGAACCGGAACCAGTAATTAAATACAAAAGAAGTCGGGAGGTGGAAGTGGAAGTGTGTAGATGGCGAAAGAGAAAGAGCTGCGGAAGCGGATTGCCGGCGACCCAAAGACAGCCAGCTGCAGTTT